TTAGCCCAAATTACCAATTTAAGTATTCGGGCTTTGCAGCTACATTTGTTAATTTAAGAAAAAAGCGCTAACGATGAAAAAAATTTTTTTTGAAAAAAAAATAAAAAAATTAAAAAAAAATAAAAAAAAAAAAATAATTTACAATGCCCCGTCAACTTCCTGCTGATTGTCTTAACGAAATATTTGAATATATTGAACAAGATAAAAACACTCTTTATTCATGTTTATTAGTTAATCGCCTTTGGTGTGAAGTTGCAGTTAGAATTTTATGGAGGAATATTTGGAATTTTCAATATGGATTATTTTATATGCCATATCAAATACGTATATTAATGTCAATTATTAATACTTTAATTTCTTGTCTACCTAAAGAATCAAAAGAACATTTATATGAGAAGGGAATTGATTTTAAAAATAGAAAATCTTCTTTATTTAATTATGCATCATTTTGTAGAGTTCTTTCTATTCATGGAATTGATCAGATGATACAACTTATACTTAGAAAACAACATTCTATTACTTCAAATTATCATAAAAAATTATTATCACAAGAGATATTAAAAATGTTTATGACACAAGTTTCATCATTAAAATCTTTGGATTGTTATTCTGGATATTCAAAAGATATAATATTTGATAATTTTCCTGGAGCAAAAAAATGTTTAAATAATCTTACGGAATTTAATTGTAGTTCAGATATTGATTCAAAATTTTTTTATCAAATATCTCGAATATGTCATAATATACAAACATTAAATATAACATTTGGAAATGATACTTCAAATGGTTTAGCAGAATTAATTTCTTCACAAAAGAATCTAAAAAATGTGATATTACAAAATTATTATACTACTACAAATAATGGAAAAAAAGTTTTAAATACATTTAAAAAATTTTCTTCTACTTTAATTAAATTAAAAATAAGGAAATCATATATGCCATTATTATTTATATCTGATTTCAATAATTTACAAGAACTTATTTTATCTTCTGATTATTATGGTGGATGTAATTATTTTAATCAATTACAACATGTTATTTTTCCAAAATTAAAAGTTTTAAAATTTTATACATTTTTAGAAGTTGAAAAATTAATTAAATTTTTAGAAATTAACGGAAAAAATTTAAAAGAATTATATATAAGAGATGAAAATAATTCATTAAATTTAGCTATAGCAAAATTTTGTCCTAATCTTAAAACTTTATTTACAAAATTTATTATTAATGAACCAGAAACATTAAAAACTATTTTAAATAATTGTCAATATTTAGAAAATATTAATTTTTGGCGTGGTTATAGATATTTAAATGAGATTGAATTTTTAGATATTTTAACAAATTATTCCCCAAAAAATTTTTATAGATTAGAAATGTATTATGTATTTAATGCTCAATCAAAATTATTTTCAAAAGAATTGGAAAATTTTTTCATAAATTGGAATATTCGTAATTCAAAAAAATTACTTTCATTAATTATAATTAAAGATTATGAAAGTCTTAGTTTAGAAGAAAATGATAAAAATATGAAAATAATTGAAAGGTATATGAATTTGGGATTTATAAAGAATTTTAAAATTACAAGATATGAAAATAATCATTATTTATATTAATATATATTATTTAATTTTATTATCCATATATATATATATATACAGTATATTATATTTTTTTAATAAATTATTCTTTAACCCAAAAAATTTGGATCGTATGTATACTAGCAGGGCGGAATTATAATAATTCCAGCCATTATCTAAAAAAGGAAATAATTTCCTGACCAGAATTATCAAAAATTAGCTTTTTTTTTACTTTTGTCGTACACTTAATAGTCCACAAGAAAAAAAAAATCCGTCGTACACTATCTTATTTAAATAATTTGAAGAATGAAGACTAATTTTAACTTATAAAATCTAACGAGAAATCCTCTCATCTTATAAAGCTAACAATACGATATTTTACTACTTAATACAAAAGGAAAGGGAAGACGAAAAGGAATGGGGATACGAAAGTAAAGTTTAAAATTTTAAAGAATGAGATTAATTATCCAATTTTCTTCGTTTCATTGTAACGTTTCTGAATTTTATATAATTTAGACAATCTGATTAATCTATCTTTGGAAATTAATCTTTGATTATTTACTAAATTTTTGTGTAAATTTTGTGCTTTGCTTTTGCATCATATGTCTCAGATTGCAAGTTATATGTATTTTATGACCATTGGATATAAGTAAGTATTGATATTGTATGCAGGTGCAGGTAAACTAACTCATCCATCATCGCCCAATTCCATTGAACATTATATGAACGTGCCATTTAATTACACTAGACCCGTCCAAGATCTGGCATAATTGCATTATTTTGCCCAATTGCCATTGGGACTGTTTAAATTTTGATGTGGTTGAAATTCTCCCGTATTATCGAATGAGAAGGCACAATCAGACGGAAGTCCAGGTAGAGGTGGGAACTGCTTCTGGTAAAATTCTTTGTTGTGAAATATTTATTTAATTCATATCCTGGATCTAAAATTTTGATACTATAATTTGTATAAAAATTTTAATCCAATTCATCTATATGTTCTTTCGATTCTAATTATTACATTAAAATTTATTTTTTCCTTGTTAGTAAGGACATGATAGAGCTAATAGGTTCTAACCCTAGCAATTTTCACAATATCTAAGGCTATTTTGAATCGTGTACCATATGTACCATGGTACTCTGCGACATACAGTACTTCTACTAATTCATCCGCTATTGGCCTGTTCTTTGAGTATTTTAATATTAGAGAAAAATATTGCATGACTTGTAAAAAAAAATAAGTATAATTTATGGTTATATCATCATGAATTTTTATATTATATTTATAAAGTTAAATGGGTTATTTTTAAATTTATGAACCATCAATCACTGCGTTTAGTCTCTAAGGTACCCCTTACTAAATTAATTATAAAAAAAAAAAGAAAAAGGACTGTATAAATATCTTTTTTTGTTGCACAAGCTTCTCATATAAAAGGTATAGATGATATCAATATTTGTATCAACTTGTGGATGTATATGATTTGTCTTACTTTTTAAAGCAAAAATAAAAAAAAAAAATAGTCTATCACAAAAAAATACTTGTAAAGATTTCACTTATATTTATTTCAACACATTTTTACAGTAGAATATCAAAAATGTCATTAGGCCGCTCCTTAATTATTTGTTTAACGCACCCCTCCCCTCTTTTTCAAAAATCTGGATTCTATTAAACATATAATAATAAATAAGATCAAGTAAGTATCACGTTATGGGAAATTACGATTTTCCAGAATTTTCCGAATTTTCCCAAAAGTTATATTATGTTTGTTTGTTTTATTGTAGACCTCAAACTCTTCATAAATTCAACAAACAATCAAATTGGAGAGACCTTAATTGGTTTATTGAATTTATATAGAATGCGTAAGTCGTAAGATATCTGGGCTTATTTCTCCAAATAATCTTGCAATATCACTCTTAAGAAGTGTGGTCTTTCGGTTCTTCATCCTTAAAAGGAAATGGGCGCAAGACGAACTTTCAACTAATACAATGATTTCCGTTAACGTTAATTTCAATGGGTTATCTAATTTATACAGTATAAAAAAATACATTTATAATTTTTTTAATATTGAATTTTTTTTAAAAAAAATTTTACTTTTTAATAGTTTAAAAAATTCATTATATTTAAAATTCTATTCTAATAATTAAGTATTTTTTAGTAACTATTATATATATATTTAATTAATTGTATTTAAAAAACTATCTATAAATTAGGTATTAAATGGTTATTATAATCATACATAATTATACGATTGGTCATATTTGTTGATTTAGCCAATCATATATTCCGTATGATTTTTAAATAAAGTAATTTATGAAAGTGAATAATGATATGTTGTTTATTATATTATCTCTATAATCAAAAAAATATGGATACTTTTTAAAGTTTACAAAAGATTATCATGATTCCACATAAAAAAATATTACAACAAATATTTATTTACAATCATAAATGTACAAATAAGAATTCATTTTGAGATATTCTTGGATTTTGGCCCAATCACCAATTTTGACAATCATAAAATTTAAAAAGTAAACGCCACAAAGCAGATCATTCTAAAACAAGGTATTTTGTTTCATTTGTTTCATATAGGAGAACTTTGTTATACGAAACGTATTAATTTTATTGATATACCATAATTAGTTAATCATCCGACCAATTGTGCTACACACGGACTATAAATTCCGCATAATTATTTTTTTTTTTTTTTTGGTTTATTAAATTCTCTTCACTTTATAAGTCCTAACGCTTGAAAAATGAATTTAGGTTTTAATGGCTCAATGATACCAGAGTATAAAAATACTAAATATTATCAACATTCACGTGCACGAATACCATCTTCACAATCACAATCATCATACCCTCCAAGACAAACTTCAACAAATCATCCTAGATCTGTCTCGGAGCGCTATTCTAGGTCGACAACTAGCTCTCTACATGATAATAGTTCCTTGAAAAATGAGTCCATCAAATCTTTTTCATATTATCATAAAAAAATAAAATCTTGGGATGAACGAGAGGTGATAAATGATGAAATACTACAGTTACAAAAACATTCTTCAGAATTGTGTCCGGAATGCAGAAAGTTATTTAATGAAAAGAAATGGTGCCGTCCTTGTAATGCAGAACATTTTCGTAGACAAATCCCGAAATGGACAAGTTGGAGTCCTGATTTAGATAATTTTATTACTAAAACACAAGTTACTGCAAATAATGTTCATAGCTTTTTTGAATGGATTCCTTTTATGAATTTTGATAATATTAAATATTTGGCGAAAGGTGGATGTAACGTTGTTTATAAAGCTATATGGAAACAAGGTCCAATTATTTGTTGGGATACTAATATTAATAACTGGAAACGCCTTGGTAATTATGAAGTAGTGTTAAAAGTAATAAAAGGATCTCAAAAAAATTTAAATGAATTTATTAATATGGTAAGTTTTGGTTATGGATATTTTCTCGCTCTTATTTAAATATTAATTCTTTATAATTTTGTCATATAGCTTATAGTTCATCACAAATTTCATACGATAGTTGGACATATACTTCGTTGTTTTGGAATTTCACGTTGGGAAGGTTCAGGAGACTTTATCATTGTGACATCGTACGCTAACTATGGGAATTTACGACAATACATTTATCAAAATTTTGAAAATTTTTCATGGATTGAACGTTTAATTACACTTAAAGATATTGCTATGGGTCTAGAAATTATTCATAACTCTGGTTATGTTCATCGTGATTTGCATATAGGCAATATTTTGAGACATAAAAATAGGACAATGATAAGTGATTTTGGACTTACATGGCGTCAAGGTTCAAGTGGTAAACTATATGGAGTATTACCATATATGGCCCCTGAAATCCTATCTGGTGGTCAATATTCTTTTGCATCTGATATATATAGTTTTGGAATAATCATGTACGAAATTGCTAGTGGAAAAATCCCATTTTACCATGAAGATATCAACCCTAATAATATTATTCAAGGATCTCGACCCGGCCGCCCACATTCTACTCCCGTTGTTTATATTCAACTTATGGAATCTTGTTGGGATTCTGACCCGAGAAAAAGGCCAACCGCCAACTATCTTATTTCAATGTTAGATGATTGGATTCATAGTAAAAGGAAACATTTGGTTATAATTTATAATTCTTTTCAACATGCTGAAAATGAGCGAAAAAATCCAGAGCTTACAAAGATAGATCAAATTTCTATTAACCAAACTAATCAATCGATCTCTAATAGTCAATTGAACTCGAATATATCACCAACAGCGGCTACGCCAAGAAAAAAACAAAAATCCATTTTAATTAGAATTTTAGTAAAATTGAAAATAATAAAATCAAAATCGTAAAATTTTTTTAAATCAACTTACTAAAACAGGTAAAGAATAAATAGAAAGTGTTGAATTATAATTTCTATTTTTATATTTATAAAAAAAAACATTTTTTTTCATTTTGTATTTTGTATAATATTTTGTATATTTTTTTTTTCTGTAAATAAATTAACTTAAAATATTAGTTATTAAGTACTTTTACATGCGTAAAATTATTCCTGCTGACCAATTCAATTTTTATCGTACGGCGGACTACGGCCCGATATTGATATTATTCCATTCCGAATCACGTGACATATATTACCTCTATTAAATTTGGCCAGAATTCTGCTTGGTTTGGAATCGTCTAAGGCGATGTGATTTTAGCCGGCATTACGGCATTAAAGAAATTATAATTGCATCAGCATCACAAAATGGTCAGGCTGAGGTGATCCGTATGAATGGTATCCCAATGATAGGGCTTCTTTAAAAAATCCTTTTGAAATACTCAAGAAATACCAATAAGGATTTTCAGTCAAATTTTCCTTCAAATTTTCCATGATTTTGAAAAGATTATTGAAAAATAGTAATAAAAAATAGCAGTACTTTTCGCAATTAACTTTTAAATCAAGAATAATCTTTTGATTCTAGAAATTTAGGTAAAATCATTATCATAATGTCGATGATCAATAAATATTCCATCATGTCTTAACTAATTTGTCTTTTAATAAAATTGTAAAAGTTTTCCATCAAAACATTGAGATGAGTTTTAAGTGTTGAAAGAATAGGATGATTGATTTATTCCAATATTGAATGTCTGATAAAAATGTAAGCATAATTTTATCATAATTTTTTCTTTGGAATCAGCACATTATTGTCCATAATCGAAAATTGCTCAAAATGATTATTCTGATAAAGTGATGTATTAAACTTCATCACGGTGGACGGCGGATTTATAAATATCTCCGTTATGTAATATTTTAGTCACCAAATTTTATTTAAGTCCCCAAATTTATTAGTGAACAGTCAAAAATGAGCCCCAAAAAAATTTTTTGTACCCCAAATCTTGCGTCTAATCAATTTTTTCAGTGTTAAAGGCGTGTCATTATTTAACATTTTTTTTGGGAAAGGCTTAATCGATTATCGATATCACATGCTTCAGTAAGTCAATTCTAATTCCCGAAGGCGCAGCAGGGTTTTTTGCCAAATTTCATAAATCCGCCGCTATGTCGTATTTAATAAGTTAAAAAAAAGTGCAATTTGCCAAATCTTTGCATTTACTAAAACATGTAATAACTTGTTTTCTAATTAATTTCAGTAGCAAAGGCATGGTTTCGCTGCTAAATTTCTTTTTCCTAAAAAACAGCTTTGTAAAGTAAAACTTCAAAATACCAAAAAGCAGTTTTCATGAGTATTAGGTGAGATATGTAAGGGTTGAGATGTGTAACCATATTTGGAATTCATGATAAATCTCTTAATTTTAGCTTTGATTATAATAGCACGTCTAAATCGTCTAATGTATAGTTGTTCCGGAAAATCTGTAGGTACAGGTATTAAAAAATTTTGAGATAATTTTGAACTTCCACAAAACTTAAAAAAAAATAATTAATTAATTATAATAAATTATTTTTTAAATTAATTATATTTAGCGTCGATAACTAATTATTAGAGTTTTAAATTTTGTAGTAGAAAATTAATCAATTTAAGGTCGTCAATATCACAATGTTTGTAAAATTAAATTTTTTCCATGAAGATTATGAATATTAGAGTTTGTGATTGGGTGTAACAATATTATTAATAAGTAATATTGCCATACGTAAAATTTGTGAAATAAAGTAGGACTGATGTAAATTACAGAAATCATCAATATTAAGCATCAAGGAGGCGTTAACGCCTTATTTATCAGAATGTTAAATAGAATTAAATTATTTATTTAATAAAAAATTTTTGTAATTGTCCGGTGTGAGAAACATATAATTTTTCTTTTATAATATGATGTAATTTTCTTTGTTTTAACATTTGTATTAAGCGAATACCACTGTAAGTTAAAACTTTTTAGACCTAATATAAAAAATATAAAATACATTTTTTTATTGTAAAGTACCATAGTTCAACTCCTTCACAAAATACCATAACTTCATAAAGGCCCAATAACAGATAAACACAATTTTCGATATAGGATTATAAAATAAGCCAAAATAATGAAATAAACATGTTAATCACACTTCTGCCCTATAAAAAAAAATTCTTTAAAATGTACTTAAAATATACTTATGTATTTTTTTAAAATATACTTAAAATATACTTATATATTTTAAAATATACCTAAAATATACTTAACATTTTAAGTATAAAATTTTGCACTTAAATTATACTTAAATTATATTTAAATTGCAATTAAGTATATTTTAAATGTAATTTAAGTATAAAATTTTATACTTTAAATATACTTAAAATTGCAATTTTAAGTATATTATAAGTACATTTAAAAATTTTAAGTACATTTTAGATATATTTTAAAATATTTAAGTACATTTTAAGTATATTTTAAAGAAATTTTTTTTCATAGGGCTGCCAGCTTTCGTATCTTTCTGTTAAGCATTTTCAACGATAGTCCGAAATCATTCTGAATCTCTTCAATAAAAAGCAAGTCGTAGGAAAAATGTGGGTGAAAGGTTCTTTTTACGCGATCCTATAGTGATGGTTTAGTCGTGAACTTGCATTGCATAACGTGCATGAAAATGTCTGACAATTTTTTCGCTTGCATTTTTATGCTCATCTACTACATTCTTCAACATCCTGCTTGAAACAAGATTATTATCAATATTTTCGTTATAAGATTCGCTTAATTGACCATTTCGCAAATAGTGAGAACTAGGATAATATTCCACAATCTGGACTCAGGTAATACCCATCAGGAGTCGTCCTTCACTATCGCTTGGGCTACTCCTGAACCAGGTAATATCTGTCAGGAGGCCGCCCTTTGGTCAACTAAAATGAGTATCTAATTAAAACTCGTCTATTGTTTGTATTTTCATTGCAACATATTTATTCGAATAAAAACAAATTACCAGACACTCTTTGGTCAACTACAGTAGGTCGAATTGTCGAACGAACATATACTTGAAATAAGATTAATGTTAGTATTTTCGTTACAACATATTTATTCGAATCAAAGCAAACCACTGGAGTCGGACAATATCTGACAGGAGCACTCTTTGGTTAACTAAATCGAATGAACATCACTTGGATTAATATTAGTGTTTCATTATAACATATTTATTCGAAAAAAAACAAATTACCTGAGTCAAATAATATTTGTTAGGAGGCGCAACTATATCGGAAAAACATTCTTGCTTGAAACAAAATAACAACCGTTGACAACAGACCCAGCTCTTCTGAAGCTTGTAATTATGGTAGCGCAGTCTGGTTTAGAGCCATGTATGATTAAAAATTGGACTCGTACCTTTTAAATATGTTTTTATGAGGCATGGTAATTACGTAATACATGCAATACAAATGCGAACGCAAAGTATAATTTCAAATCAATGAAATCATAAATAACTATGAGCATAAAAGAGTTAAGATGGAACGAATAAGACGAAAAATGAAGAGAAAAGAGAAATTAGCAATGGTATGTTGATCTCCTCTTTGTGTTAGTACTCGACCACATTCACATTATATATAAAACCACATTTAGTTTCGGCACTCTTATACTCAATTAAAAGCCTCCAACAAGGAGAAGAGAACGGCAAACACGAAACAACTCGAGTTCATGAAGCATAACAATTCAACTACAACTCTTCCAAAAAAAAGATGATGACAACGAAGAAGGCGAAACCATGAATGATTTTCGATGTTACTTTAGTTACACTAATACGCTTCATAAATATGCTTAGTACGAAGTGATCAATGAAGTTGAACAAGAATAATCAGAATTAGAAACAAAACTGAGGTATATGGAATGTCAGTAGATAACATTTCTTTCATTTTATTTACAGCAAATGGACATCTATTATACAGGTTACTTTTCGATGAAATGAGGAAGCGTAACATATATATATTGGTTGATCCATTTAAACCTTTATCGAATTCTTGACTTGTTTTCGATGTTCTTTGGAGAATTAGTATCTAAAGCTTCCTAGTAAGTTTTGTAATATTTTTCTTTCATGTTTTCAATATAAATTAATGATATTCCTGTTTTTAGCGGTGAAATCATCAATGAAGCTCACAAAGATCGGATGTAGACCAAAGACCAGCTAGTAGTATCAGTTTTGCGCAATAACTCGCCATCCAGTGATCGTAGAAAGATGATCAATAGCTCGTTGGAATCATCTCGTCGAGACGGTTTGAATGGTATCAAAACCATCTTTCTAGCATTGATAGATGGCTTGTTGTTTTTGCCAATTAATAGAGGAGATAAAAATGATGCGAGTATATATTACTGCAAAAAAATTTAAGTCTATTAGTATTCACAGATATAGTAGGTGTTTACGGCAAGAATAGTTAGTTTAATAGAACTCATTTAACTTTTATATAATAGAATATTTTATATCTATTTATCTTACGGATATTGTTAGGATTAAAACCTATAGAATATACGAGATCTTCAAATGCAAGATTCCTATTTCATATACAGAGCGGTGGTTGCTTATAAAAATTGCAAATGTTGGCTTTTATCTAGAGAAGTTGCTCAAAGAATGTAAATCTGTAAAAGCAAAACTATGCGAAGAAGATGCAATTGCTGATAATGGTCGTGATTGTGTATCCAATTGGATTTCGATTTCAGACAACACTCCTAGTAAAAAATAAAGTGCCAGCAAAAAAATGATATGTTTTATTTCACTTCGTAAATGTTATAATTTGCGTAATCTGGGTAATCTACATAATTACTGAGCATTGGTGTTAGCAATCAACTTAATGATTATATTTTTTTGTTTTTTTCTTTTAGCAAAAGTGATCACGCTCTGAAACAGAATATGCATGTGATTTTTATGTATAAATCCCGCCTTCTCATTGAAATATGTGATTGAAAGAGGATCTAACTAAGGATGGAACTGATTATGTAATTGCTGAAATCTTAAAGCAGAAAGTTCTCCCAAAAATAATTTTTCTTCAGGAATGAAACTTTCCATTATTCTCTTACTATAGTCCTAGAAAATACTTTATAAAAAACAGTTATATTATCTCCCGCAGAAGCTAGAAGCGTATTGTGATTAATGTGCAAGAAGTTTGAAACTAGTTTAGTGTGTGATATTATCCCTTCCTACACTTAGTTAAATACAGTCAACCGTATGACTGAAAAATTGCGTAACAGTAATTCACTTTTTTTTAATAAATACGATGAATACTATTAATCATTTTTCTAAATCTGAAGCATCTTGTAAGGTCTGATAAATCCGAAGTACCTATATTGTTATTACAAGTCACTGATTCAGAAAGGTTTTTACAAGTATACATATATATCCTCAAACTTTCTCAATACTTCTCTATCTCTAAAAAACACTTCTTTTGATGATACTTTTGCGGTTAACATTGCTGATAAGAATGCTATTAATGTCAATATTAAAGATTTAAGATTTCTGACCCCAAGTTCCTTATTTGGAATAAGAAAAAAGATACATTAGGAATCAATGATCCTGACTTTATGACGCTTTGGAAGGTTGACATCACTTATGATGATAAAGACAAGCTTAATGATATATTAAAAAAAAGCTTGGAGGCGTGAAGTTGATACCCATATTCTTGTTTAAGAGTATTTTTTTGAGTCTACTTGTAGATGAGAACATTCACATCATTGCATAAGCGCCCGCTGCTGGTAGGTGTCTCCCAAATCCAATAGAATAAGAACAAGAAATTTGTGGTTGTCTTGTTTCTATATTTCTAGATTATCCAATAAAAAGGCCAAGGCTCATTGATTACGACGATGTAATTTTTAATATAATCCGGCTTTCTACACGACTTTTAAATACTGGTGGACTTGATTGGAATTATCAAGAGTCGTCTGAGTTTGAAATGATACTAGTAGAGAATGTTCGTTTTCTACATACTTCGTACAAAAGTGATTTATGTGATAAAACAACCACACCAATTTTTTTATGTCGTCTGATGCCGGATGTGGAAAATCTTGAATGCAACAGAGATTCCTAGAATACTCCGCGAAAATTTGCAGATGATTTAGATTTGGGACCTCGTTTGAAAGACGCAATTATATTTCAATCACCTTGGAAAATGGTACAAAAATGAATATGAGATATGAACCCAATGTAAATGTTGCGATTGCTAAACGGATGTGTCAGGATAGCAACCTTATCTGGAATGAAGTTCGTGATCTTATGCCAAGCTTCACAATTACAGAAATTCTTAAAATGTGCTAAATATAAAAGAATGTCATTTAAGGATATGACCGTGATCCTTATTATTGATAGAATGCAAAATGCTCTAATCAATGATAATAATGGCAGGGATAAAATTTAGCATTTTATTCTTTTTTATGGAATAATATACTGTTGTTATGAACAATAATCACCCTTGAATTATTGCGTGTTGCACAGCCACTTTCTTACGTCCATTTAATGAAATGATTTCTGATTCTCATTGATGCTGAGTTTTTCTTCGGGAAATGTCTTTAAGGACACACTACCTCTTTTCAGGATGTTAATAGATGATATGAGTGAGAATGGTAGAGCTTTGGAGGCACTTTGAATTTGCTGTAAATATTTTATTTTGAAAATATCAACTTTCTTTCAATTGCAGAAAAGGTATATCATCAACTTAAAAATTACTATATTGAATGGATTTATATAACTAGTTATATAACACCTATCCTTCGGGCTATTCTGACACACACTTCTTTGGCAGCAAGACAACATATTCCTGGCACCGATATTCTCCTGGAAGAACTTTCAAAACTAGGGCTGATCAAATTTGTGAAAGAAGATGAATCGAGCGATATAGGAGCTTTAACGTGTCCCTATATCTGGTTGTGGTTAATGGCAAATGCATCAGATGATAATGTCCTACATCATTGGAATTTTAAGTATTATAATGAACTTCAACACAAAGAAGACCCATATATTCCTCCTGGTTGCCCATATTGGATGCATTTTGAACATTTTGTTGCCTCTTTTCGTGTTATCAAGTCAAAAATATTTGGAAAGGATCAACAGATAAAACTAAAAGATATTTATGCTGGTGCTAAACATAACTTTGGTGAAGAGGCCATTATAAATAAACCATTATCATTAGAGCAGGTTATCCATAGAGAAAGTACCAAATCAAGCGCTTATTCTATCAATAAATCGGTATCTTGTATGAAAGGAGGCAATCAAATTAAACTTCATCTTGAGGATGCATCTGCTTGCATCATCAATGGGTCGGGTGCACCTTCAGCAGGAGATTCATATATCCCGATTTTCTTCACAAACTCTATATTGAGTCCCATCAGTATAAATTCCTGAATTCAGAAAAAGTGAGCCAAAAAATATATGATGATGAGCATGAAAAAGCAACTGATGAGGGTGATGTTTTTGTACTTGTTACTTGTGGGTCTTCTGATGTAAATGAAAGAGCCTTCCTGTTAGTGCACGGTGATCAATTAAATGCAAATGAGGCTAATTTTTCTGAGATAACATCACAGGGATAAGTAAAGTACGTACCAATCTTTTGATGTCTGAAAGACCATTTAGTGATCTAGAAGATTGTTATAAAAAAACTAAAATTTCTCGTAACATCTTGGAAAATTTTCAGTTCGAGATTTAAGAATGTTTCAAATATTATAGCTTTTTCCCATTTCGTGTAATTGAATGCACAAAATTTATTAATAAAATGATTTATCTTTAAAAAAAATTTTTTACGCTAATTTATGATGCAATTTATAACATAAAAATTACAAATCTTTAAAAAAACGATGTTGCCATACATGATGTATATTTTTTTATTTTCTGATGTCATACAAGGAAACTTTATTAGTCATCAAAAATTTTAAAGCAGCATGTAACACTTTCTATGCTATATAATGCGAGTTCGCACTATTATTTGACTATTTGACTACAAGATTTTCACAAACTCTTTATAAATTCAGATTTCTGTAATGAATTATTCCAATCGTATCTACACTCTCATCTACACAGATAACATCAGTAAATTTTTGGTGTAGACGCAGATTTGTATATCATTTTACACGAAACTTTAAAATCCTTACAGTTTTTTATTAGGAATCTTTAAAAATCCTATAATTTATAGAATCCTAAGAGATTCTTAAGATTTTATTAAGGAATTTTTAAGGAATCCATAAAATACTGGATCTCTAAGAATTCTATAGTAATTTATAGAATCCCTACGGATGTTAATGGTCTTGTAATATTGGTCTGAAAATCCCATGAATGAAATTTTAGCCGTCAAGATTATTTTAAAATTTTTTCGCTTTTCTGTATGGTATAGAGGGATTTCTGTACATGAAAAATTGAGATTTTCCTTTGCTATCGATAAATCGGGCAGTTTGGTGATTTGGTGATTTCTAGGGATTCTTTGCTAGCAGGCTTCTTGAGGGCTGGTGAGGAGTTTTAGATGGTTTATAGGGTGTAGCATTTTTCCTATCAAAAATTTGACCAGTTTGGAAAATTGGCAGTTCCTGAGATTTTTTACTGGGACAGTTTATGGGTGAGCCAGAACGAACATTTTAATACTACTTATTCTACATATTTATAGATAGTCAAAAAAAAAATGAAGCTTTTATTTATTTTTTTAATGAAAAAGAATATAATTTGGGCAAACTTCAATGCCATTAAAAGTTATTGTGCAATTATAAATTTTTAAATTGTAACATTAATATCATTTATAATACAGTGTTCAACCCAATAACTTGTTAAACAAAATCATATACAAATTATGAAATGTATTTTGTACATATTTATTTACATCCTTAAAGTCAACAAAAAGATTACTTATTTAAAATTCTGAAATTTAAGAAATTTGTAGCTTAAATGCTTTAAATAATTAAATAAATCCAGTATTTAGGATTTTACCATATGTATTCAAATACTTATATTATTAAGATTTTGGAGAAAAGTCACTCCTTCTCATATATAAAAAAATATATATAATATAATTAATTTATCCTAATTTCACACATAAACTATGTGCTTCTATTAAAAATATTATTATCATGGTTGTCATAATGTCATATACCTGTCTCTTATACACATCTAGATGTGTATAAGAGACAGCTTTTGTATACAACTACTAAAAAACTATTCTTTATAGTTGATAATTAAATACCTTTTTTTTTGCGCTTAAGTCAATTTATTAAAGTAAAAAGTAAACAGTTTGAATCGTGTTCTTTATTTAATATTATGGGGGTCTTCACAAAAAACGTGATTGAGATTGAGATTGAAATTTAGTATAGAATTTCAATCTTACTAACATATTAAGATTGAAAATTCTATATGAAATCTCAATCTCAATCACGTTTTTTCTGAAGACCCCCTATTATATAATGTAGATCATTTCCTTTTTTGTAATTTTCTTAATCCTAATAAATGACTTCGTTAAAAAAAAAAATTTTATGGTATGTATTGGAATATTCTTGAATTTATAATCATGCGCTTAGGAAATAGGAATTATCATGAAACACTTTATTAAAAAATCCGATTTTATAATTTTTATATACGTAACATGTTTGTTTACAAAATTCTGTATAACAAATAAATTTTTAAAAAAAAAATCACCAAAAGGAATGAATCCACGATTACTGCATACGAAAATGAATGTTCGATAAACGGTTGAGAGTAATAACTTCATAAGGCTGATAAAAATTAGATTCCATGAAATGAAGATTTTACAAATCACAAACACAGAAGAAACATGATAGCGTCGCCGAATTGGATTCATATGCTCCAATGGCATATGGACTAATACAGTATTCCTGCTGTCAAAATCCATACAAGTTGATTCAAATAGGATTACATTTTAAGTACCCTTATTGAAACATTTCATACCAAATTTTCCCATCATGGGATGAAAATACATTATCGTCATATATATAACTGTCATATCATTTGTTTCACTTTCTGATTTTTGGTTAACTCGAACGCGTGTCAAAAGAAAAGAAAATTAGACTTTTTTTTTATAAAGCGACAATAACTTTTACGTAGTTACTAATTAATCAAATTACAGTTTTTTATGTAGACAATAAAATACCATTTTTAATCGATAAACTTTTCGCAATTAAAGCTTTTTAGTTAGACGATACAAAATATAATTTTCAGTTTCATATTCCAGAAATTCCAAACTATATAATTCATTTATTTAATATACTCTAACTACAAATTTGTAATATTACATAATCCAGCCATTTATAGTACTGCATAATAAGTAAAAAAAATTGGGTTTAAACATTATAATTTAAAGAACATTGATATCAAGATCAATTTCTTTGGAGACGTATCCTTATATTGAAAACAAAATTAGATAAAAATTTTATAATGTTGATTTATACTTATAAATGTATATTTGCTTACCTTTATCACGAGATTGATTAGAGCTCATATTAATATCTAATTCAATTTCTTTTGTAAAGTAATCTGTTAAAATCATAAAAATCAATTAAATTATGAAACTAAATATGTTGATTGTTAAAATCTAATTTATTTACCACTATTTTCAAATTCAAGAAATTTTCTTCTTTTAATACTTTGTTCTAAATAATTATGAAAGTGAATTAAATAGTAGATAGTATAATGAAAAATAATAATTTATTAAATTAATTACCGTACCATTGTCATTATTGTCTTCAACCGAATCATCTTCAAACTTTCTTTTATCTTTAAAATAATATTAATTATAAGTAAGAACATAAAAAAACCGTTAAACAAAAAATGAATAATTACCAGTATTTTTCTGATAATAATAAAATGGATCTAAAAATAAAAAATTGTTAAAATTGTTCTTGCAATAAAAATGCGTTGTAATTAATAAAATTTGTTACCGATAGATTGACTCCTTGAACTCCTTAAAGACATCGCAGATTTAATCATGCGACTTAATGGTCTACTCTTATAAATGGCACCTGGACTAGTTATTGTTACAGGTCCAATATCTGATGATTTAATAATTTTAGTTTGATTTATATCACGTTCATTATAATACACTTTATTAATTTTCAAATACACATCTATAGTTGTTGGTCTTTTTGCTGGATCAGAATGCCAGCATTCCTTCATTAATTCAATATATCCTTCAGGTGCATTTGTAACAATTGGTGGTCGTAAACCATCACATATTTTGATTATAAGTTCTATATCATGAATTTCATCCCAAAAAGGTCTTCTACCTGTCATAAATTCCCACATAATCATTCCAAAACTATATATATCTGAAGCTTCACTATATTTTTGTCCTTGAAAAATCTCTGGTGCCATGTAAGGTATAATACCATATTTCTCATTATCATTATTTGATTCAGTTGCAGATCTGCTTATTCCCAGATCACCCATGTACGCAAAATTTCCCCCAAAAAAGATATTTCCACTATGTAAATCCCTGTGGATAATTTTTGCTTTGTGTATTTCTTGAAGTCCATTTATTACAAAAAATAATTCACACAGTTTTATCCGCCAATTAGTTTTATAAAAGTTATTACTTAAATAATGTATCAAATCACCTGAACTATAATATGGCATAATAATCATCATATCTTTAGTAATAGGATCTTGAGTAATCCCAAAACATTCACTAATGCCATAAGTTGTATAATTACTTGAAAAAATCTGATAATATACCTTAAACTATAAAATGAAAAAAATATTAATTTATCGTCATCAAAAATTAAAAATTGAATGCGCTGTACCTCGTTCAGTTCCTTGGATGTAATGTTTTTAGAATTATTAAGTTTTTTGAGAACAACTGTATAATTCTTCTCACGAACAATGTTATCAGTAGAGTTAAGCGTATCAATTGGACCATCAACCCAAATAGCTTTATAAATTTTACTAAATCCTCCTTCGGCAATAAATTCTATATTTTTGAATTGATCATAGGGAACAAACTCTAATATCCTACAAATTGAACTTTTAACAAAATTAACTCGTGTATTTCTGATAATGTCATCAATGACTTTGTTCCCACTTAAATTAAGTTTGGATATTTCATAACATAGTTTACAAGTTTCATGATTTTCGTCAATAATGTTTCTTATATTACATTCTTTACATATTATCCCTCTTTTACCAACTATATCTAGCCAACTTAAGGACATATTGTCTGACATCATAAACGATATTTATATTAATTGTTTCGTTATTTCAAAGATATATAATTTATTTGTAGCGTTCAAGAAAACCTTCTAGTATATATATTTAAAGTAAGGAGTTTAAATCCTAAAGAATTATAGTAAACAATTAATCTAGAAGTTCATTATGGAAAGATTTTGAATGAACTCCGACTAGAATTCCATGAAAGAATAAAAGAATTCTATAAATGCAGTGATCAACTTAATTGTAAATTGTCGCGTGATACAAGTTACTATAATATCGTAACTCCATTTTTTTCCATTAAAAGCAAGTATTTGCTGTTTGTGTAACAACCCTCGTAATAATAATTCATTAAATTCAAAATATTGGTTGAAAAAATCGATATTGATTATTTTTTTATATAAAATTTTATTATTTTTTAAAAAAATTATCATGAATGTATAAAAGCAGAAATGAAACAAGTTGATAAAGGATTCAAATAATTTAAAATTTAATTATATTTTTCACCTAAGCGTAAGTTCTTATATTAAATTTTAGTTAAATAGCGTCCAAGATCTAAAAAAAGTGTAAGATAAATTTCATAAAAAAGACCACATAATATTAATAAACAAATTTTATAATAATCTATTAAAAATTTTCTTTCTTTACTTGATTTTTTTCCCCTATTTCTACAGCTACAAATATAAAATTTAATTATTTCTAAGTTTAATATATAAAAAAAATTATAGATTTAAAAATATTTTCACATATATTTGTAATTTATTGATTATCATCTATTCTATTAAAAGTTTTTTCGAGAAAAACCATTTCATAGATCAAAAATTAAAAGTATATTTATTTTTGTTTTAAGTAATATTTTATAAGGTATTACTTCAAGGGATAGATTTCCAATTTCAAATTTATTAAAATAGCCAAAATAGATCTTGGATTCAAGTCGTGTCACAAACTTGAGTTGACTCGAGACTTGAGTTGCACAAGCGGCAAATCAAAACCTCTAAGCTAAAATAATCAAATTTTTAACCGGCCGCCTGTTCAAAATTATTTTATCAAGTGATTATCAATATTTATTTTTTTTTTATTTTAGGAAAAATCTCCATTTATTTATTTTTGTGATTAAAATCTTTTCAAGCGCAGCATCAAACAGAATTCCATTATATAACATCCCTTTTATTAACCAGTTACAAGATAAAAAAAATTATGTTAAAAAAAACTAATAATAAATTAATAATAAAACGTTTAAAATTTTACTAAAATATCATGATTAAAATAAAATTTCAACGCAAAATAGGTAGGGGGATAGATAGGACAGACTGTCACAGACATACGCTTCTGAAAGCAGGCTGCAAGTAATTTCGTGAAACGTATTTACCACCACGAATTTTCAGTCATTGCATTACAGACAAATACTTTAGGAACGGGAACTGTTGGAGTGTCCGAAGCGTTATAATAAAAAATCTCTCTAAAAAAAATGTATCGCTGCGTCATTAAATTTATCATAAATATTAAATTGTATATTAAAAGTTAATTCCCGCGTTGCTGTTGTATTTATTACATATTGGCTAATTGAGTGAGTCCCAAAAATTTTGGTGTACTTCGTTGATCAATTAAATAGATCGTCATGTGATACGTACTAAAGTTAAATTACTATTTCGAAAATGACGATAATCAAGATAATATATCAAAATTCAGATTTAAGTGGGTTAATTTTATAAATATTTAACGTTTTTATTTAATAATCAAATTTATTAAAAATAAAGAAATAACAAATTTTTCTATGAAAAAAAAAAAACATAAATATGTGTACTGATATGTGTACAAAAAAACTTTAGCATTTTAAGATTTTATAAATTATTCATTTTTTAGTTTTTGAATAAAAGAAGGAATAATTCTTTTTAAAACAAAACTAATTGATATAAATATAGCCCACAGAATTCCACCAATAAGTTCAAGAACGATATAATTATTTCCTTTAATGAATCCCATCCTAGATTCAGCAGGAAACCATTCATTTAAAAATTCTTCAACAACATTAAGATTACTACTGTGTAAAATATATTCATTGAATCGGCAGCTCTAAACTTACTCTTGCTATTCATTTTAGCTAAAAATTCCAATCTCACTGAATTTTTCTTTATATTCTTATCTTTTAATAAAAAAATATAATATCACTAACATCTAAGTTAAACTTATTCAATGTTAATGCAACAACCAGCTCTGATATATCTAATTCTTAATAATTTTATAACTTTATTTATAAAAAAAAATTATTAGTAATCCGAATAATTTATCATTTGGAACCTGATCTTTTATTTGTTACAAAAATTATAATTCCTTTTATAGAATTTCATTACCTGAAAAAATTGTTATTTAAATATGCATTCGATGATCCTATTGTTCTTTACATTTTATGTAATCCTTTTAGAAGTCTAGAACAAACTTTATGACCGTAGCTTGTTAAAATGTGATAAAAGGAATACAGTACTCGGGACTGAGTGACAAATATGATTTCACACCTTGTAAATACCAAAGTTCCTAGAATACTTATGAAAATGAGAAACGCAAAGAGTGTATCACGTGGTAAAAATTCTGGGGAAAGAATCAGTTGATCCGTACCACTCTGAATATTCGCCAAAAAATTTTGATCAAATTAATAAAGCTTAATAAAACTCGTTATCTTATTCATATTTACAGAAAAAATATTTCATTTTACTTTATTGAATTTTATTATTTTGTTTGTTTTATTTATTTAATCTTATTTTTTTTTTCTTGTGGTAAAACTATTTTATCTTATTTTATCTTACTTATTTTATATTATTTATTTATTTATTTAAGTTAATCATTATTATATATGTTAATATTCAAAGTTCAAACCTACAGCTGTGGAACGTATTTAAAAATCAATACTGTAATCAATTTATAATTGGATAATAAGAGTTTTCGTAAGATATTCTAAAAGATTTCTTGACATTTGCGCTTCAATGGCTTTATTAAAGGTATAATTAATGATGTAATTGATATCAATGAATCAAAGATTTTTTTGCGAAAGAACGATTATATTGATTAAACTGATTTCATTAATAAGATACTGTAGTTTTTTAAAATATTCAGAGAATTTTTTAAAAGAAATAAAATTTATAATTATGCCAAAAAGAAAACATTTTTACAATCATATTAACCAATCTCTTCCCTAATTCAACTTTCCGAACTACTTTTTATGTCGAATATGTCAAATGATCTCGATTTGAGATTTGGGAAGTTTAAACAGTTCCTGTCCATCATACCATTTAGATTATTTATTTTACAGAATGTTTTTTTTTATTTTTTAAATTTTTATTTTTTTTCATATTCTTGATAATTAAGTAATTGTATTATATGTTTTTTTATGGCTGTAATTTAATTAAGATATTATATCATATAAAACACTTGCAATGTTTTAACAATACAATATAATAAATATTCTATATGATTACTGCTTAAAACGTAATAAATTCCTGTAGCAATAATGCAAAAATTTTTAGTTTTATATTTTTTAAAACACAACAATTAGAGATATTGTAATTACAGTCACGTGTTATCGAAATACTATGATCTTCCTCTCCTTTTTTTACTCGTTCATATCCAAAAAAGGATCAACATGTAAATAAATCACCTGATCTATCTAAAACTTGTTTGAATAAGTTGTTTTACCGCTCCCCTTCTAATAAAAAAAAAAATTGACAATAATGTCTTAGCTTATACAATATAAATTATAAAATCATTCAAATTACTTTAAATTTGTATATGTGAATCTAATAAAATAGTTTATAATAAATAATTTGATTTTAATTATTTTTTTTTTTTTCGATTAAGCAAACTTCAAACATTATTAAGATCTTAGTAATTGCATTTCAAATATAAAATTTTCAGTTACGAGTATTACGGTCAATACTATAGTAAATTTTCTTGTAAAAAAATATTTAAATCTCTTTGTCTCAAATTATTCCTTTAATATCACATGCTTATCAAAGAAACGAAATTAATTAATGGTATTTGGGATAGTTAAAGAATTCTTACATAAAGCAAAATTTATAAAATTTATAAAATCTATAAAATCTATAAAATCTATATAATCTATAAAATCTATAAAATCTATATAATCTATATGAAACTTTTTAAATCCTGAATTAATGATAATGAACTACATAACAATGTTTCGTTATTTAGGAATAATAAAACCACTGATTGATTCAATAAAATAGGACCGAAAAAAATTGTTATATAATTTTATTATATGGTCTACCAGGCAACTTTCTTTTAAAGAAATCCCCTCTTTAGATGATTTGTATCACTGTCATTTTTTTTAAAATGTATACATTTACTAAAAAAATTATCAATTAATGTGCCCAACTTGATTCTTGATTTCACCCTAGTGTACAACATAAAAAGTTGATTCCTACCCTCGCTCATAAAGCTCATACTTGACAGTGCGACTAATCCTGTACTAACAAAACTTGATTTAATCACTTTATCAAAAGCTCCTCCACCAATTTCAACCATTTGAATAAATTTATCATATTCAAAATAACGAATATATACATTCTTTACCTTTTTCTCAATACAGAAGTTATTTAATCATAAATTTTAGTTTTACTTGTGAAAAAAAATTTATTTCATTGCAATACACAACTTTTTAATTACATAATACTGTACTCACTATATTTTATGTTATTTTATTTATTTACTAGCTGGATGCCCGCGTTTCACGCGGGCCTGGCTAATTAAGATTATGAAAATCAGTTATAAAGTATAGAATGGTTATTGATATTAATTTGAAAGTTTGTGGTAAATAGGGAATAATAAAGTAATAACATTTTTTATTAGAATAGTTATAATAGTTATAGCATTATTCAGCATCATTTGCTGATCACGTTAACCATACAACACATCAAATTGATCAAAATACTAATGTTGATCAAAAGTGTAGTAAATTGACATGTACTGTATAACAACACATATTATTATCACAGTATTATTTTAATTATTTTATTAATTGAATGTATTTTTACATTAACTGTTCTTCACTTCTATTATCACTAATGTAAAGAAATAAATAAAAATCATAAATCTTTTTTTTTTTAATTTTAAACTTTATTAATATTGTGATAAATATTTAATGAACAACCTATCACAATTTAGATGACATGCATCTGCTAATAAAGTATAAATCATAAATCCAAAATTCTGGTGTCTAGTAAAAAACTTTAAAAGAAGAAAAGAAAAAAATGATTAGTAAATATGAAAAGAATTTTTTAAAAAAAATCAAAAATATAATTGAACTAACCTTCACCCTAAAAGGTACTGCTAAAACCTAAAAAAGAGAAAAGGGTTGTTCCCTACAAAAAAAAAGCTAAATTAGTGATGTTTTTTTAAAGTTAAAAATTCATTTTTCAGAACTTACCCAAAGTTCTCAAAAATTGACCATCTATACTAAAAAAAAGAAAAGAATGAAACATCAATAATGTTTCATTAAAGAAATAATGTTAGATAAATTTCATTTACCAAAATTTGCATCCATCCAAGGTGTCACAAAACTGTCTAACCTACAAAATATAAAACATGAAACATTAGTTAGCATTTCGTTTCATTAATAAATAAAAAAATTAATGAAATACACTTACGAATTCCATGTCCAGAAAGACTGAAAAAGCCACCTACAGAATGCAAAAATAAACATTAGTAACATTTTGTTAACTAACATTACGTTAAAAGAAGCATTTTAAAAGAACCTACTAAAATTTCATGCATCCAGAATCATGAATAAACTGTATAAAAAATGAAGAAATGTGATATTATTAAAAAAATTTTTAAAAGAAAAAATACTCACCACAACTCTGTTCGTGTAAATTATACCTTATTCAGTCATCCAAAAAAAATGAAAAATTAAACCATTAGAAATGTTTGATTAAAAGAAATGTATTAAATCCTTCCTTAATACCAAATTTCCATGTGTCTGAAGACAAACCAAGAAAACTGCTGAAATCTAAAAAAAGAAGGATTTTTTTTTTTGGTTTTTTTTGCAGTTATTAAATACCTGTAATTTCTGTTATTAGAAATTTTTGATTCCCCCTGGTAAAATCCCGGTGGGTGGAGCCTGCGACACACACATCCAGCCGGTTCCTATAACTTTGAGAGTTTTACAGGCATTAGAAATTAAAAATTAAATGTAAAATTTTTTTAAAAGAAAAGGTTTATTTTATTAAAAGAAAAGGATTTTTTTTTTCGTCATGTGGGAAAATTCAAAAAAAACCGAAAAATATTTTTTTTTTTTAAAAAAAAAAAGAAAAATTCGTCGTATGGGAAAATCCAAAAAAACTTTTTTTTTAAAAAAAACAAATGACGACTTCTAAAATGACAAGAATTTCATTGTCACGAGTTTAATTTTTTATATTATGTTTTTTACATCACAATTACTAATCGGATTAGTTGCTATAAATTTGTTCTAATTCAAAATTATATTGGGATTAGGGCTACCCAATTAAGCTAATTAATGCGCCACTTCGAATCCTATATAAAAATCTGTAGCACAGGACGCAGATAAATGATGCTGGACGATCCAATTTAAAATCCACCTTTTTATGCAGAACGTTACGGTCGCACAATGCTTTTTTTTATAGATATAGATTTCTATGGAAAGCCGTCCTTGACAAAAGGTTGATATCCAGACATCATGTTGGATAATGTCTAGACATCATGTTTGATATATGTAGAATAATGTTTGTACATCATTCAACATGATGCTCTATGGAAAGCCGTCCTTGACAAAAGGTTGATATCCAGACATCATGTTGGATAATGTCTAGACATCATGTTTGATATATGTAGGATGATGTTTGTACATCATTCAACATGATGCTCAAGCATCAACCGACATGATGTCTTAGACATCATGTTACCAAATATAGTAAATTTTATTTTGTGTAACTCATAAATATACTATATTTGGTAATTTGATCAGCATGATGTCTAGACATCATGTCGGTTGATGTCTTTAAGATCTGTCTCTTATACACATCTAGATGTGTATAAGAGACAGACATACTACTGTATCTTTTATTTTATTTATTTATTTCGTCAATTGATCTTACCTATTATAGAAAATTTAAATAAAAACCCTTATTTGCCAAAATTGGATAAATTTAATTGCCGATCAGATTATTGTGTTCCTTTGTGTATTTTAACTAGTCTTGTTTCACAATTTTGTTGCCGATCTTGAAATCATTCAACATAAAATAACGTTTCACCACTTTTTTTTCATTTTTTTTTTTCTTTTCCTTTATTATTTTAGTAATTTTTACATACGGATTAATAACATTTTTTGTTTAAGAAATTATTTATTAAAATGGATGAAATTAAACTAAGTGATGATGTGTTTGAGCAAATAAAAGATTTTAACATTTGGAATTTAACTAAAGAACAAAGATTGTTAATTGATAAACTAATAACAGACAAAGAATTAAAAGAATGTTATAAAAAAAATGGTTTATGTAAAGAATGTAAACAGTTTAATACTTGTTTTTGTTATTGTCAGCCATGTAAATCACAATATTTTAAACAAAATTTCAAAAATTGGACAAGTGGAAATCATGACGTTGATGAATTTATTCAAAAAGCACAATTAAAGGCTGAATGGTATTATAAAATCATAGAATGGATTGAATATGATAAATTTGAAGATGTTGAATATTTAGCAAAAGGGGGATTTGGAACTACTTTTAAAGCAGTTTGGAAAGATGGTCCTTGGACAATAAATAATTTTCAATTCGAAAGGAAAGGTGAAACAAAAGTCGCTTTAAAGTGCTTACATAATTCCCAAGATATTACAGCTGATTTTTTAAAAGAAGTAAGATATTTTTTTACTGATTTTAGTATTATTAGCCTTTATAAATGTTAAACTAACTATAATTTTCTTTTAAGGTTGAATCAAATATTTTAGTATATTATACTAGTAATGTAGTTCGTTGTTTTGGTATTGCCAAAGATCCAAAAACAAATAATTTTATAATGGTGATGGAATTAAAAAATGGTAGCTTAAGACAACATTTAAATAACAACTTTATTTCACTGGATTGGAATCAAAAGTTGTGTAGTTTATATTGTATTGCAATTGGTCTTAATGATATTCATAAAAAAGGATTAATTCATCAAGATTTTCATTGTGGAAATATATTAAGCGATTTTAATAAAAATGCTTTTATTACTAACTTGGGATTATGTCAACCAGCAAATGTCAAATCCTCTCAAAATAATAATAAAAAAATATATGGTGTATTACCTTATGTAGCTCCAGAAGTTTTAAGAGAAAAAGAATATACTCAAAAAAGTGATATTTATGGATTTGGAATTATTGCATATGAAACTTGTACAGGTTTCCCTCCTTATCATGATATAGCTCATGATGATTTCTTAGCAATGAAAATTTGTAATGGGTTGAGGCCAAAGTCTAATTATAAATTACCTCAATTCATTTTTGACATTATTAATCAATGTTGGGATGCAGACCCTTTAAAACGACCTAATGCAGATGAATTACAAAAGTTATTTGGTGATTTATATATTAAGAGTTATTCAAATTCTTATTCTGTGATCAAAGAGCAAATTAAAGAAGCAGATGAAATTAATAAAAAGTCATCCTCATCACCAACAGCTCAATCACCATTATCTTCTACAAGTACACTCACATATATGACACATCCTCAAGCAATTTATACAAGTAGAATTTTAGATTTTAAAAATCTTCCAGAACCAAAAAATGCTGGTAGTAATTGATGATTTATTTGAAATAGAATATTCAGGTAAATTATATGAATTTAATTTGTTTTATTAAATCGTATTTTTAATACAATATTTATTTCCGGCTTTTTATATACATTAGAATCAATAAAAGTTACCAAACTCAATATCAATTCCAAAGATTGCAATTAAATTCTTTGTTTAACATAGTTAATAGAATATTAAAATAATGTAAAAGCAAAATTTTGTTTATTATCAAATTTAACCTTATACTGTATTTTATACTTGTTTTAAGTTTATAAAATTTATATGTTTAAAAAAATTATCTTAATAGCTATATATTTTATATATTTATTATATATTAAATGAAATACATTAACTTACTTTTCTGGAATCCTCTATTTAAAATTTAAGAGAAAAAAGAATGATTTCTCTATTTTTTATCATCGTAGTGGATTAACATAATTTTTTTTTAAAAAAAATATCATTTGATTAGTTATTGAAGTTTTTTTTTTTTTTAATAACAAATATATATCTTTATTTTTAATAAAATAAAAATTTATCTAAATAACCACTGATGCCATGTAATAAAATTTAGACATGAAATAACATTTGATTAAAAGGGCAAATTTAAGATATTAGGAAATAAAAAGGTCTTCTAGCACACTTAGGATGTTAAAAGAAAAGTTTGGCTTGTTCCAGGAGTATCTTATTCCAATGTTAATTCTTGTGATTATAAATTTGAATTATTGATTAATTTGTAGTACAATTTTGTGTTCAATATTACCTTTACATTGTTAGATTAAACATTACAGGCAATAAATTAACAAAGCTGGTATTCATAGTTAAAAAAGAGAGAACGTATTTCTTGTATTACAATTGACACAATGAAATCAGATCTGAATGTTAGTTATACAAAAGATCTAATCTTAATTACCTAGATTGCAATTCAGATAAAAAAAAATCATTCAAAATTTTCTCTTTTTTTTGATGATCAGTCAAAGAAAAAAATTATTTTAACAATTGTACACTAATTTATAAGACAAGACATCCATAAACTCATAAAGGACGAAAAAAAAAATAAACTAATTAACATATAAATTGGTGGTAAACAAAATTTACACTTTTTAATAGTAATTCCAATTTGAAATAAAATAAATCATTTCTGTTAAACAGGTATAAAAGTCAAAGTGATGGCAAAATTGAAAAGATCCAGCATTTTCAATCATTACAAATTGGAGTAAAATTTACTTTTTCCAGTATAAATAAAATTAGTCTCTGTGACTAGTAATGAAATCTTTAAATTCATCATTACTGAGTTTAATTTCTTCCATAATAAATAATAAATAAGGAATATATCATACAGAGATTATGGATAAAATAAAAAAAGTAAAAAGGAAAAAAAAATGAAATGAGATGAGAAAGACACATTATTTAATTTATAATATTGCATTACTGAGTCATGTGATTAATAATAAGTATGAAGTTTTATAAAGTTAAAATAAAATCTGTTATCCGTTTATTTATATGGAAATTAAAGAGAATTTAAATGAATAATGTATTTTGTTCAAAAAACTTAACCTTCAATATTAATTTTTGAAAAAATAAAAAAAATTATTAATGTTAATACTATTGATATTATCATGTTTAAAAAATGCAAAAAAGTTAGGTTAAATAATAATTATTTACGAACTTAATAAAACATATCAAAATAAGCTAAATTATTACATATAATTTATATGACGATATTATATAAAAGTATATCTAAATTAAAAATGTTTGATAAAAGGAGAATTGCATTTATCATATTTACCATTATAAATTACTTTAAAAATTAAAAATTTCCAAATTCTCTTAGTTACCTTCTATAATGGATTGAATATAATAGATTTGAAAAAAATTACCAGTTGAAAATATTTCAAATTATATGATTGTCACCAACCATGATATACAGGTATTACTTTACATTCTTCAGTAAATCATACTATTTATAATGATTAATAATTTTTGTTTTTTTAAATTTTAATTTTGATGGTTGAAAATAAATCATTGCTGAATTTGAAAATTTATGGAAAACATTATATTTCGTAAAAATTTAGCCTAGTTTAAAATCCACAACTTTTTAATTATATAATACTCTCTATATTTTAAAATATTTTATGTTATTTTATTTATTTATTTCGTCATTTGATCTTACCTATTATAGAAAATTTAAATAAAAACTATGGCCCGCCGTAAGCACAGAAAGGTTGATGAAAAATCATCATGGTGCATGATTATTTTTCACCATGTTGCATGATGACTTTTCACCATATTGCATGATGACTTTTCATCATGATTAATGATGACTTTTCACCATGTTTATGTGATGACTTTTCACCATGTTTAGTGATGATTCTTCATCATGATTTATGATGACTTTTCACCATGAGATGAATAATTTTCACCATGTGACAAATAATTTTCATCATGTTTCCTAATGTAGAATTGTTCAATAGCCAAAAATAGCTTACCATGCCACTGGTTTTTTATATTACAAATTTAGTAAATTCTAAGATTTTCTTTTACAAATTTGGAAATTTACCGATCCTTTGGCATTTTTACAATCACATTTACCGTGTTAACCATTTTTTTGCTATCACATTTACAAACTTTTTTTCGAACTTAAAGTTATTTAACATTATTAAAGAAAATTTTTTTTTTATAAAGAGTTTATTTTAATTGAAAATTCAATAATAAAATTTTTGCATCATTTGAAATTGGAAAAATTCCATTATTAAACATTACTGTATATTAAATTTGTATTAAAAAAAATTAATCAGTAATCAAAGCATATCATGTATAAAAAAAAATAAGAAAAATGCATTTCAATAAATGTCAAACATTAATTTAAAAAAAAAATAGATATAATAAAAAAATATAAAAGTTTGTCCTTTTGAATAATCATCAATAATAGCAATAAATACATTTCATGTGTTTGTTGGTTATGACGTTAATTGCAACATTGATTACGTTAACAATTAGTTATGTAATTGATCATAAGATGATTGAATAATGAAAATCGAAAAAAAATATTTATTTATTTATTTTAATTTACTTGTCTAATATTATTCAAAATTTAAAATTTTTTTCGTGAAGAAAATTAAAATTTTTTGTGAAGAAAGAAAAATATGAAATTTTTTTTTAAAAAACTATTTGTAAATGCTTGCGAGAAAATTTATGATTTATTTTTTTGTGAAGAAAAATCAAAAACTATGCTACTACTAAATACATTTTTTTTAAAAACTCGTCCACTAAAAATTAGTCATATTTTTTTAGAAAAAATTAATGTAAATTACAAAGAAAGAATTAAGTGTCAGTTGTATCATGATGGTATTAACATGGGCCGAGTTAGTTGTGGTAAAATATCAATTTATATAGTAGATATGTGGGTATGTCATGGGTTAAATTTTAAATATATAGAATAATCATTGAATTTCAGTATTTTCATTATTTACCTTTAGATAGTGTTTATAGGAAATTTTATTTTTTATTTATTTTTTTTTATTTCGTTTCTATCTTATATTTCATTTCTTACTAACTTCATTTTTTTTTACTTAATGTTTTTCATCTCATATTACTTCTCATTATTCCATCCTTTCGTCTCACATTATTTTCTACTATATTTTCATTTTCAATTATCTCTTTTTCTCTCCTATTTACTTCCCATCACTTCTTTCGTCTCCTATCGCTCCTTTTCGTCTCCCATCACTCCTCTTCATCTTCCCATAATTTTTTTTCGTCACCCATCACTTCTTTTCGTCTCTCATCACTCCTTTTCGTCTCCCATCCCTTCTTTTCGTTTTCCATCACTCCTCTTCATCTTCCCATTCTTCGTCTTCCATCACTCTTTATCGCTTCCCATCACTTCTTTTCGTCTCCCATCACTCCTTTCGTCTCCCATCATTTCTTTTCGTCTCTCATCACTTCTCTTCATCTTCCCATAATTTTTTTCGTCTCCCATCACTCCTTTTTACCTCCCATCACTTCTTTTCGTCTTCCATCACTCCTTTTCGTTCCACATCACTCCTTTCGCCTCCCATCACTTTTTTTCGTCTCCCATCACTCCTTTTCATTCCTCATCATGTCCTATTTCTCCTTTTTGTTTCCTATCACTTCTCATTACTCTTTTTTACTCCCTTTCATTTTCTATTATTTTCCATTACTCCATTGTTATTTCATTTTTTTATTAGCATCTTTCTCTTTCATCATTGTAATTTACTTCTCTTTTTTATTTATTGTTATTGTTTTTTTATTTGTATCACTTCATTAAAAATAGATACGGTGATTTTTTTCTTTAAAATTGTAAATGTAACTTAAAATTTTAATATTTGCAAATAAAATTTCATTAAATACGATTATTTTGAATAAATATGTTTGCAAAAAAAATTTTTTAAAAATATCTTCGTTTCTTTATAAAATAAAAAAATAAAGTTTTGCAACGTTACATAACGTTGCGAAACTTACCATTTTCGAAATCTACCGTTCCTAAGTTACCAAGTCAAAACAAACCTGCAAAAATAAAGAAACGTTAGAATAAATAACATTTCTTATTAAAAAAAATAAAAAAAAATTGTTTCGCATTGTTTTGTTGCGAAACTTACCATTTCGAAATTTTTTGTTTCGAAATTCACCGTTCTGAAGTTTCCATACCGAAACACTTGGACCTAGAATAAATAACATGTGCAAGTGTTATACAATATATAATATTATTATTAAATGCAAAATTTATTTATCACACGAAACAAATGTTGCAGTATTGTGGAATTTACAAATTCATTCCAAAAACAATTTTGTATAAGTAGTTTGTTGTTACATTGTTACAAAAAAATCTTTTTTTTTTATCCTCTAGAAAAAAAAATATCTTCTTACTAATTAATATGAAAAAAAAAATTCCCAGAAAAATTAATTATAACGATCTATTGTTACAAAAAATAAATAATTATGTCAGTCTATTTATTATTGAGCTTGATACAAAAAAATAATACTATTATTATTAATAAGAATCGGGAAAAAAGGTGGCATAATCTGATCACCGGTCCAAACCTAAATGGTGAAAGATGTATTAGAAAAAAAAATCGGTATGAAAGAAAAAAGGCCAAACCGAAAAAGGAAAAGGGAAAAAAAATTTTCGGATTGGAAAAAAAGTCAATCGGAAAAAAACAAAAAAAAAAAATTTGTGTGTTTTGGAAAAAAAACCAAATCTAAATGGTGAAAAGAAAGAAAAAAAAATAAAGAGAGGAAAAAAAATGAAAAATTTTTAAAAAAAGAAAAAAAAAAGGAAAAGACAAAGGTATTTTGAAAGAGAAAAGAGGAAATTTGAAAAAAAAGAAAGAACCAAAAGTAAAAGATCGGTTCAAGAAAAAAAAAATGAAAATTAAAAAAAGGGGGAACCGAAAAAATTTAGATTGAAAAAAAAATTCATAGATGTGATGGCAAAAAAATGTTTTATACGGTAAATGTGATTGCAAAAATGCCAAAGGATCGGTAAATTTCCAAATTTGTAAAAGAAAATCTTAAAATTTACTAAATTTGTAATATAAAAACCAGTGGCATGGTAAGCTATTTTTGGATATTGAACAATTCTACATTAGGAAACATGATGAAAAATTATTTGTCACATGATGAAAATTATTCGTTACATGGTGAAAAGTCATCATAAATTATGGTGAAAAGTCATCAAGAGACATGGTGAAAAGTTATCATGTAAACATGGTGAAAAGTCATCATTAATCATGATGAAAAGTCATCATGCAACATGATGAAAAGCCATCATGCAACATGGTGAAAAATCATCATGCACCATGATGATTTTTCATCAACCTTTCCGGGCCATAAAAAACCCTTATTTGCCAAAATTGGATAAATTTAATTGCCGATCAGATTATTGTGTTCCTTTGTGTATTTTAACTAGTCTTGTTTCACAATTTTGTTGCCGATCTTGAAATCATAAAAATAACGTTCCCCCACTTTTTTTTTCATTTTTTTTCTTTTCCTTTATTATTTTTTAGTAATTTTTTGCATACGGATTAATAACATACTATTTTTTGTTTAAAAACTTATTTATTGAAATGGATGAAATTAAACTAAGTGATGATGTATTTGAACAAATAAAAGACTTCGAATATTGGCGTTTGACTGAAGAACAAAAATCGTTAATAGATAAACTAATAACAGACAAAGAATTAAAAAAACGTTATAAAATAGATGGTTTATGTAAAAATTGTAAACAGCCAAATACTGGTCATGATTGGTGCCAGCCATGTATTTCTAATCATTTTCAACAGAATTTCAAAAATTGGACAAGTGGAAATCATGACGTTGATGCATTTATTCAAAAAGCACAATTAAAAACTGAGGATATAAACCATACCATAGAGTGGATTGAATATGATAAATTTGAAGATGTTGAATATTTAGCAAAAGGGGGATTTGGAATTACTTTTAAAGCAGTTTGGAAAGATGGTCCTTGGTTTAATAGTCAATTGAAAAGGAAAGGTGAAACAAAAGTCGCTTTAAAGCGCTTACATAATTCCCAAGATATTACAGCTGATTTTTTAAAAGAAGTAAGATATTTTTTATTGATTTTAGTATTATTAGCCCTTATAAATGTTAAACTAACTATAATTTCTTTTAAGGTTGAATCAAATATTTTAGTATATCTTACTTGTTGGACAGTTCGTTGTTTTGGTATTACCAAAGATCCAAAAACAAATAATTTTATAATGGTGATGGAATTAATAAATGGTAGCTTAAGACAACATTTAAATAACAACTTCATTTCAATAAATTGGGGGGGAAAGTTGAATAGTTTATATCTTATTACACTTGGTCTTAAAGATATTCATAATAAAGGATTAATTCATCAAGATTTTCATTGTGGAAATATATTAAGCGATTTTAATCAATATGTTTATATTACTGATTTGGGATTATGCCAACCAGCAAATGTTAAATCCTCTCAAAATACTCAAAATAGTAATAAAAAAATATATGGTGTATTACCTTATGTAGCTCCAGAAGTTTTAAGAGGAAAAGAATACACTCAAAAAGTGATATTTATGGATTTGGAATTATTGCATATGAAATTTGTACAGGTTTCCCTCCTTATTATGATATAGCTCATGATGATTTCTTAGCAATGAAAATTTGTAAAGGGTTGAGACCAAAGTCTAATTATAAAATTCCTCAATTAATTTTTGACATTATTAATCAATGTTGGGATGCAGACCCTTTAAAACGACCTAATGCAAATGAATTACGAAAGTTATTTGATGATTTATTGGTAAATCGCCATAATAATAATTGTATTATCAACAAACAAATCAAAGAAGCAGATGAAATTAATAAAAAGTCGTCCTCATCATCTTCAACAGCTCAATCACCATTATCTTCTACAAGTACACTCCAATATATGACACATCCTCAAGCAGTTTATACAAGTAGAATTTTAGATTTTAAAAATCTTCCAGAACCAAAAAATGCTGACAGTAATGATGATTTACTTGGAATAGAATATTCAGGTAAATTATACGAATTTAATTTGTTTTATTAAATCGTATTTTTGATACAATATTTATTTCTGGCTTTTTATATACATTAGAATCAATAAAAGTTGATTTTACCAAACTCAATATCAATTCCGAAAATTGCAATTAAATTCTTTATTTACATAGTTAATAGAATATTAAAATAATGTAAAAGCAAAATTTTGTTTATCATCAAATTTCTTATAACTGTATTTTATACTTGTTTTAAGTTTATAAAATTTATATGTTTAAAAAATTATATTAATATATATTTATATATTTATTATACAATACATTAACTTACTTTTCTGGAATCCTCAATTAAAGTTTAAGAGAAAAAAGAATGATTTCTCTATTTTTTATCGTTGTAGTGAATTAAAGAAAAAATTACACATAATATTTTTTTAAAAAAATATCATTTGATTATTTATTGAAATTTTTTTTTTAATTAACTATTTTTTAATAAAATAAAAATTATCAAATAATCACTGGTGCCATGTGATGAAATTTAGACATAAAATAACATTTGATTAAAAGGACAAATTTAAGGTATCAGGAATAAAAAAGGTCCTCTAGCGCACTTAGGATGTTAAAAGAAAAGTTTTGCTTGATCCAGAAGTATCTTAAATCTCCAATGCTATTATCGTGAGTTAGTAAATCAAATTAAACATATTATAAATTTGAATTATTGATTAATTTGTAGTACAATTTTTTGAGTTCAAGATTACCTTTATGTTGTTAGATTAAACATTACAGGCAATAAATTAGCAAAGCTGGTATTCATAGTTAAAAAAGAGAGAGAACATATTTCTTGTATTGCAATTGACATGATGAAATCAGATCTGAATGTTAGTTATACAAAAGATCTAATATGAATTACCTAGATTGCAATTCAGATAAAAAAATCATTGTACCGTTACAATTTTAATAAAGTTTCAACCAGACATACTATAAATAAAAAAAAAAAAGATAAAAAAATCATTCAAAATTTTCTCTTTTTTATATGATCAGTCAAAGAAAAAAATTATTTTTAACAATTGTTCAATTTATAAGACAAGAGTCCAACTTGGCTTGCTATAAAAAATACCAGGCACGAACATATAAAAACATCAAAGCATCATGTACAGATAAAACATCAAGCATGTACAGATAAATATCAAGCACATGATAGATAAACATCAAGCATGAGCAGATAAAAATATTAAGTACGTTCAACTTGGAAAATCGTGTTAATAATTCACCTTTATTCAAACATTTTCAACTTTCCATCGATAATGTCGATAAAAATTCTCCATTTTATTTGTTAATTCATCATTTAATTCCTATCAAACTTTCTTCACTTCTATACAATTATATGGTAACAAATGATCACATGATAAAGTTTTTAACGACTTTATTACGCCTTTAATGAAAGACATTAATGTCAACATTTGGAAACCCATGCAAACGCCATTAAAGAATAGGAACTATCCCTGGGTATTACTAGGGCTAAAAAGAAATCATATTGCCGACACCACAAAACCACTTCGAAGAAATGAAAAAGATCTCAGGATAATCCGATCACTTCCAATCCTCCTAACACAGATCTTATTTACCTACAGGATCCTCAGCGACATCAAGTCTGCTCTTATCCCAACCAGTTATATCCAACTCCTTATGTCTTCTCACGGACACATTTAGATGATCACGCTTATATCAGGTGGACTTCAAGCAATTTTTACATTCTGGTGTTATTGCTAATTATCGACATGTTTCCTCCTTTTTACTACCTTTTAACATAGATTCCTATTATAATATTTCTTATATGTAATTCGATTCTATAACTTTATTTTTTTATCACTGTTCATTTATTCTAATCTTGGTTCGATAGTGTGAATATCCGACAGCGGGTATCCCTCCTTCGTGCTTTTTCCTCTTTTTATACACCAAGGTGATAACGCCCTATGTCTGAAAGGCTTTGTCGCGCTTTAAATACTAGTTTCATAGTTACTGTTGACTTTAGAATATAGAGTTCTTGTAATTTTACTGTATTTTGGTTCGCTTTGTGAATTTTTTTATTTTATTGGCTTCTTTTTTTATAAAACAATTTTTGTAGAGAATTTTTATTTTTAATATAGGCAAAAGCTTTTTTTGATAAAATTTCTTTTGAATTTTTTTTTTAATAAAAGACTTTTTTTGATAAAAAATTTTGTTAGAAAATTTTTTTTTTATTGATAGGGACATTTCCAAGTTTTTTTTTTTGATGAATAATTTCGTCAAAAATTTAAATTTCACTGGAGAATTTTTTTTTAATAAGATTTTTTTTTTTTGATATATACCTATTTGTTGGAACAATTTTTTTTTTTAGTAGAAAATTCTTTGATAAAAATAATTTTATCAGAGATTTTTTTGATTTTTTTTTTGATAGAGAATTTTGTTAAGAATTTTTTTTTTTAATAGGAATTTCTTTTGGGAATTTTTTTTAATAGGTGAAGAATTTTTTGATTTATTAGAGAATTTTTTTTTAATAAGGGGATTGTTTTT